GTCTAGTCCAGTCCAGTCCAGTCCAGCATCGTATCTTATCGTATCGTATCGATACGCTACAGAACAGTACAGTATAGTAACTATAGCATAGTATAGTAGAGTCTAGTATAGTATAGTACAGTATAGCATAGCATAGTATAGTACAGTAAAATATGGTTATAGTCTAGTACAGTATTCGTACAGCAGACAAGTGTACTCTAACTTGGCTTTCCCCAAACCCCCAGACCCTAAACCCTCAACCCTGAACCCTAAACCCCTAGGCCCTAAACTCTAAACCCCTAAACTTCTAAACCCTGAACCCCAGACCCTCTCAGGAGCTCTCGGTCCAACTCTCCGCTCTGAGCGTCTCCTTCGCCCCCATGGCCCTGACGCTGCTGACACGGGGGCTCCGCCGCTGGGGCAACGCTCAAAAGGACTTGCAGCCCAAGCCGAAAGCAAACAGGTGGGTTTAGGGTTTTAGGGTTGAAAGCAAACGATTGCCATATCGCCGACATTGGGAGGATGTCGCTCCAATCATGGAGAAGCGCAGCACCTTCAGCAGTTCCTTCGGAAGCTCAGGCGTGGGAGATGGGTTTCGGTTTCATGCCGCAGCAGCAGATCTGCAATCCCCCCCCCTGAGGTGAACTTGCAGCCTCTCCGAGAGACTGGCACTTCACCTTGCGTATGCACGTGCCGCAGATCGAGCTCGAACTCCTGCTCGCAGAAGTACCGGCAACTGGCCTGAAATCTCCACAAACCCGAACTCCGCGCTAGCTGCAAGCTCTTGCTGTCTCTCTCTCTCTCTCTCTCTGTCTCTCCCTGTGCCAGTTAAGGTCATGAAAGGCCGTCTACAACAGTGGAACCTGGCCTTGGAAGGCAGGTGATCCGCTTTCTTTGGGCAGAGTCTTCCGAGTTCTGCGCTCCTTTCACCTCAGGCGCGTGTAGCAGCGGCCTCAGTATTTTTTCTTCTCTGGACTCGGCCTTCCTTTGGGTGGCCGGGTCGAGCCGACCTGTGCTGAAATTCCTTGGCGCCTCCCATCTCTCGATCGCCCTTCCACTGGGGGAATCAGCCTTCAAGGAGGAGCATCGTCGATTCAAAGCATGGCTAACAAATGCTGCTAATGTATGCCAAAGGAGTTGACTTCCCTTGTTGAGGAGCTTGCGGTCCGCTGCCTGGTGGCACCGCTTTGGGCATGCATCGATTGCACGGCCTTCTCTCTGATGCTCGATTATCTGACAGAGCTCGAAGAGGCAGCTGGCCAACTGTAGCTGGACCAGTCGCGTCATACTGTAGCTCTGGTCAGGATCCCTGCTAAGATCATTCCGGCTTGTGTTGATGAGGGAACTCTCGCTTGACGCATGTCAATAGCAGCCAGCACACTCCCGCTCCCGTCGCTGCGAGCGCCACCCGAACACAGAGGAAGAGAAGCTTTTACGAAGGAGCACCGGCGAAATCTCACGGGAAATGGGGTAAGCAGGCTTGATTCTATGTTAGAGGTGTTAGACATACGTTGGGTCAGCCCGGAGTCACGTTGCAGTCTCGCAGAACAGTTCGAGCAAGTGGTTTGAGGCGCACATCTGGGAGGGAGAACTCTGGATTGTGTCGTGTGAACATGGGCTCCAGAATGCACCGCTTTCCGGCTGTCTCGTAGTTCAAGTCTGCCATGCAGGCATTTGCCAGCAACTCGTTGGCCTGTGAATCCACCGTGGACTTGAGCGATCACCAGCTACCTGCGCAGATGTACACAGCGCCACTGTCCAATGCCGTCTGCTGCAGCTTGTCTGGAAGTGTGACCTGGTAAACGGAGTAGAGTCTGGAAGGGAGTCTTAGAATCATCTGCCACGAGGCCTTTTGCCAGAATGCTGCTATCGATTGCAGCAGTGGGACGTGCATCTGGCACTGACCAGCCTTTCGATTTTCATCCCAGCGACAGCAGACAGAGACCCTGAAGGAATCCTGATTGGCTGTGCGGCGAAGTGGTCTCTGCGGCAGTTGAGGAGCCGATGTTTGGTGTCGAACTTCTTTGCAGTCCAGGCATTGCAGAGCACTTCACTCTCAGCGCCAAAGGGTATTGACGGGGCCATCCTCCACCCCTGCCGGCTGAAGCTCGAGCTGAATCTAGCACTGGAGCCTTCTCAAGTGCTTCGAGGCGTAACTGGTCGCCTTGTCGTAGATCCTGTTTGCATCTCGCTGAAGACTGAACATGTTCCATTGCTCCTTCAGATCTGGGAATACCTTTGTAACCTGGACGATGCGCTTGCTGCATTCGGGGCAGACCAGTGTTTTGAGCGATCTTCAAGCACAAGCAGCTTGACTTGCAGGGCCAAGACGGATTGGTCTGACCATGCGGAGTCAACCCGCCGGCTCTGGAGAGCAAGCTTCAAGGACCTTCAAAGGGCAGCGAAGGTGCTGGAAGAATTGATCCCAGAGTGTTTCTTGCAGTTCTGTGAGCACATGCTTAGTCTGGTGTGTGCTTGTAGATTGCAGCTGGAAGTGGAATTTTGTGCGTTGCACGTCGGATTAGTGCAGTCTTCTACCGACGCAGAGCTTGTCATCGTCTTGGTGGAAGATACACTCGTTTCACTGGATCGGACTCTGGCCGGCTTCGCCACGCAGCTAGGCTTAGGGGGAGCCCCTTCGCCACTCTCCGGGACTTCTGCAAGCAGCGCGCCAACCTCGCCGGTCACACGTTGTCCACGGCGTCGTGAGCATCTTATGATTCAAGTTGGTGCGGTGTCTGTTGACATTACATCCACTGAGCTGGCCAGGGGAGCAATGCTGCTGGAGCCCGTTTGCATCGTCTTGGACTTGTATGAAGGTCACAGACATCAACCATCCAGCTGCAAAGTTTCTTGGGTGAATCTGAACGTAAGCTCGGCACTGATCGAGACGATGGTGAGCTTGTACAACGACGCGGTTGACAGAACAGCCTCAATGCGACCCTTCGAGGCCACCAGTCCTGGGGCAACGCCGGTGTCTCCGCGATGTTTCTCGCCCAGTGCGCAGCCGCCCACACCAGTGAATGCGCGTCCGGTACTTCAGCGTCAGGTGAGTATTTCTTCGCGTCAGCCCCAGCTGGCGGTATGGAATGAGCTTGGTCAGGACATTGCTTTGACTGTGATGGACACGGGAGGTTCGCACGTTTCAGAGCACATCGCAAGTGAGACAAAAGGCATTGTCCAGATGCCATGGTGTGGTATCCGCACTTCCAGTGCCGGTGACCCTCGGGGATGGTCGGTGCAGCTGCGAATTGCTGAATTGGCTGACATGGATGTTTCCCTGCACCTGTCGGCAGCGGCAGCCATCAAGTCTGTCGCCGTGAAGAAAAAATATCCGACCAGCAGTTCGTCGATCACCGGGTCGCTGAAACGACTGACTTCCAAGCTGCGCTGCAATAGCAGTGAGACCAACACCAGCACTCAGAGCAACTTGGACTTTGCAATGAAAGCAACGCCTTCCACTTTGCTTTCGGGACAGTGCTGGATGCTGGTGCGCACCGAAGTCGGCAGCAAGCTTCACGAGCTCGAGGTGCACATCAGTTCCGTCCTCTTCTTGGAGAATCGGACCAGCGTAAGCATCTCAGTGGCACCCTACGGAACTCCACTGGAGAACTTCCTGGAGCTTGCTCCCAAGAGCCGACCCCAGCCCGTCCCCGTGGCCTGGCTCACGATCGGAGCGGATGGGAAGTTGCCGCCGACTCTCTGGGCCGGGGTGACCCAGGAGCTGAAAACCCCTCCGCTGGGGAGCTCTGGCAGCTCCCTGAGCATGACGGCGGTGATGTCTGGGGTGTCGGGAAGCACCGACTCTATTGCTTGGACTTGGATGAGAAGCCAACGTAAGAAAGGCATGCTCCAACCGCTGCTTCTTGGACTCGTAGCTACCGGTAGGTGTTTTGCAGGGCTTCCGGGTATGAATCCGTTTGCCAGGACTGCTACGTAATTGACCCAGCTTCCCTCAGGCTAGGCCGACAGAAACCGACCAAGAGGTGTCAGTGAGGGGTCAACTCAGGATTGGCTCGCGGACTTGGCAAGCGATCTGTCGTTACAAAAGCATGGTTGCAAACGACTACTTCCTTCGCTCACGGATGATTCGACTGCAGGATCGCTTGGGAGACGAGTGCGCCTGCTTCTCCGCGACCGTCTCCGGCGTCAGCGCGGACTTGCAGGCGTCCCTGCAGGCCTTGATCTTCTCGGTTGCCCTGGATCCTGCTGCCCAGATATGTAACCGAATGCCTTGTCCATTGGAGCTGAGCACAGTGGATGGCCCCGTTGTCATCCGGCCTGGTGCGGATATCGACATTCTAAAGCCATCTCAGCAACTGCAGCTCTCCTTACAGGCTCCGATCTCCACCGGCATCTCAGATGAGCCCGTCCGCCTCCATCTCGCCACAGGCCTCTGGGCGGACCGATTACCAAGAGAGAAGCATCAGAAGCAGCTCATCTTTGAGGGTGATGAGAAGGAAAAGAAGGACAGGGACGACAAAGAACCTCCACGCCTGGTGGCAACGCTGGAAACAGAGCCGGGCTTGACGATGTCGGAGTCCTGGGCGCCGCTGCAGGCGCCGCATCCAGCCGAAGTCAAAGTCGATAGCTTAGGCTTAGTCTGCCTGTGGTCGAACACCGGGCGTGCTGCAGGTGCGTCAGTACTCGCCACGCTCCTTGCGGCTCGTCTTCTTCACGCAGTGCCTCGGCTGATCATTACGCAGACTCGATTCGTAGACACCCTCCGCCGGCTGATCGGTTGCGGCCCGCGAGAAATCGCTTTAGAGGTATTGGCTGATGAACCGACGGAGTGACTGCCGTGTTTGCCTTCCACGGGTGGACCTCCCGGCGAGGGCCGAAACAGGCGCAGCCGACTCCGAGACAGTCGGTCTCAGCGAGCTGTAGACATTCTCACGAACGGAAATCTGCTTTTCCTAGATTTGATCGGAGACAGTCGGTAGCAGGGTAGCAAAGCTCCTGGTCGCTGCAGGCTTGGCGAGATTCGGCAGCAAGCGTCCTGGTCGTGCAACACGGCATGCGCTGATGCAGTATGACCGCAACTCCTTGCGAATGGTCTCGGAGGACTTAGTGAGGCAAGGAGGAGTGGCAATGCCGAAGTATCACGTACTAACGAGGTTCGAGATCTGTATTCTGTGATGTTTGATGTTCTCTGGTCGAGACAGCCTCAGATTACACCGTAACTGAAATGATTCAGGTCCTCCAGGTGCGGAGGGCTTCCGAGCCCTCAGCAGTTCTACTCTATCATTCCTGTCTTCAGGCCCCGCCACTCCGTGACGATCAGATCGTCAAGTCACCCAGAGGAAAATCCTCCTCCTCCTCCTGCTCCTCCTGCTCGCCCGCGGGAATGCCTCATCTTTTCCGGGTGGGGGGAGCAACAGCCCACCTCCTGTCCTTTCCATAGCGCCGTGTGGTTGTGTCGGTCCGAAAGGGGGAGGGCGTGCGAGGACGAACCTGATTCAAGCAAAATCTGCGTTTCCCTTCCTCCATGCATAAGTGTGAGGCCGAACTGTCAGCCTGGTCCGAAGAGAACCCGATCTCTGCGGTTTGCTTAACAGGCTTAACAATTTAGTGGGTGGGTGGTGTGGGGTAGCTTTTGATTCTAGATCATGCTGAGTTTTTCTCGTGCACGAACCTTGTTTTCATGCACCTGCACGAACAGGGACAAGTCCTCACGCACCAGACGTTTCTGAATCTGTTACAGGCGCGGCAAGATCCGGCTCGGCCTCTGTGACCAGCGCTACAATGCAAACGGCGAGTCGCTGGTTCCAGTGACCCAAGCATTCAGGAGCTGCGTGTCAAGAAAACATGGGGGCCAAGTAGCCGACGAAGGTGTAGGTGACAGAGCTTCGGCGATTCGGGCCTGGTGGTCGAAGTTGCATGAAATCCTTCCCATGCAAACGACATCCGGTGCAGAGAGGGGTTAAACTTCACAGCACATGCTTGTTCAGGATAAGACAACCCACGGCCCGGCACTGAGTTGGGCAATGGCTTGGCGTTTTTGGGTCTTGAGAAGCCTCAGCTCTCGTTCCTGCCCGAGTCCAATTCAAAACTGTGCGTAGAGCTCCAGCTGCCTGATGCAGGTGGGTTCTGCAACGGCACCTCGCACAGACCGCAATCCAGTGCAGCGGTGCTTCGGATATACAGTCAGACCCGCACCGCTTCCATTTCACCGGACGCTGATTGTGGAGGTGGTGCGGCGTTACACTCTACTGAACCACAAGGATCACCCGTTGTTTTGCTTTGAGCAGAGCGTTAGCTTGGCACCGCTGGAGATTGCAGCAGGTTCCTCTGCCGCCTTCGATCCCCAGGGAGCTAAGCTGCAGATCGCAATCAGTGGAGTTGGGCCGATTTATGGCACCGCGGCAGCTGGAAATGCTGCTGTGAGTGAAAGGCCGCCAGATCGGGTGTCGACCCTGCCCAACAGGCTGAAGCACGAAGTTGCAGACCTGGAAAGCGGGCGCCGTGCCCAAAAGAGGGCTGTCACTTGGGCGGACCAGTACCAGGCCGACAACTGTGAACCCGACTTGGTCTTAGAAGCCAGGGAGGATGACCAGTGGGGATGCTCTTCAGCTTCCTTCGGGCTTGCAGAAACGAGCAGAAGTCGCTTCCAGCTGATGCATCAGCTTGATTTGTCCTGCTTTGTACCTGCCATGGCATGTGCATCTGCACACCTTGCGCGACCTGAGCCATTGGTGGGACCCGCCGAGCCGCCCACAGCCTATGGCCGTGCCTGGTGCTTGACGGCTGTTGATACTGTCGCTAGGTAGGCCATTCGAACGTTTTTGTGTATTTTCCCCTTGTTGGGTCTCCGAGGATTCTATGTGCGGTCTTACTAACGCTTTTCAGAAACTTGTGGGGGCCAACCTAGGTAGTGGAACAAAGCTCGGTGGTGGTTCGCTTCTCAGAGCCACTGCGGCCGCAGTTCCGTATCATCAACCGCACCGGTCACCCGCTGGGTCTGTGCCAGGCGGGGTTTGTAGCCGAAGCACCCAATCCCATCCCTTCTCTTTCCGTGCATGTTTGCTTCGTCTGTTTCGGTTGAGGTCATTCCCCAGCATGCAGCATAAGGGCATACGGAATCGCTGAATCAGCTGCATGCCAACGTACGAGCTGGTCAGGTGTGAGGCATGAGGACAGGCATGCAAAGTACAATAAAGTACAACAAAGCACAAAGGCAAAGTCAGGATTTGAAGCCGGCAGGTGCTAAAGTCTCGACATGCATGGAAGGTTGGTGCTTTCATAAGGCATCGCGAGGCCAGGCATGAAAATGTTCCAGTTAGGCACAGAAACAACATGTCTGGCCTTTGCGCCTGCAGCAACAGAAGTTCATTGAGGACGAGCTTTACCACAGTGCTGTTTGGAAAAAAATTGGCTCCGCACGCCGAGACAAACAAACAGAGAGACGAGGAGATACGGATGAAGACGGACATACCAGCGAACACGCGTTTCGGTGTTGACGCTTTGCGAAGTCTGAGCTGAATGAGGATGTATCTACAGGCCTTTGCAGCAAGTTACATGCTGAGCGACTAGGAGATAGAAGACATGTGTCCCTGCGCCAAAGTTCCGGGATGGCACGTGAGGGATTTCTGCGACATAGATCCGAGGACTTAGGAACATCAGAACCATCAGCTCATCAGGACCTAGTAGTGACCCAGTGGCTTCAGCTCTGGATAAGGTTTCATGGTGTGCGAGCCCTCTTTTCTCATGAAGTGAAGCGCCAGGATTCTGAAGGGGCGCCTTCCTTGGAGCTGGCGCCCGAAAGGCGAATGAGCTTCTGCTGGTTCCAGCCCGAAGGGCCCCAGCGGCTGAAGCTTCGGCTCGGACCGAAAGAGCCTCTTAGCTGATCTGAGCCCAAGGAGAGATGAGAGGAGACGCGTGAGCCACGCAAAGTGTCGTATCTTGAGGCACAGCTACGAGGTTGGGACTGTTGAGGAGCACTCGCCGCCGCTTCACGTGGAAAGACCTCCGCAAGGTGCTGCTGCAGGCTGGTTTCGGGAGGAGTTTTTGGTGCAGACACGAGTGGTCAGAGGATCACGGGAGGTTCATATCCACCCCCACTGCCGTCTCACAAACATGAAGGGGCAACCTCTTCTGGTACGATCCGGGAACGCGAAGGCAGGTGAAATGGCTGTTGTTCCTCATGAAGGCTCTGTTTGCCTCCAGAGAGAATCCAAGACGTCCGAGCAGGTGTTCCTTCAAATTGCAAGTTGTGCGCAAGACTGTACTCTTGGTGCGTCGGCAACACACTGGTCAGCACCGATCATGCTTACCAAGAGCTTGTCCGGGCACCGGGGATTCCTGCGACACATGACCAGTGGTGGAGCAGGCATGACGTCTGTCTTTGAGATCACCATGGTTGATGTGAAGAAAGATCCGGTCTCAGATTTCCTGGTCGTGGAGCTTCGTCCCTACGTTCAGTCAAAGTGCCCGTACTTCATCGAGAATGCAAGTCGCTTTTGCTGCAGCATCAGCCAGCTGGACGGACCGGAAGCAGGGGCTACCCTAGATCTTTTCCCACAGGAGAGTGCGCCTTTTGTTCCGGTGGGCGCGGTTTTGGGAGGTGCCGGCAGCTTTCAGGTGAGACTCTCCGCGCTGGGGGAGGGTGACGAAGCTGATCAAAGCACAGTGATTGACATCGAGCTGCCGCAAGAGACGATTCTTGGGCCGTTGCATGTTCAAGTGCTGAAAGAGAGACCTCGTCACATTATCATCAGAGATGTGGGAGCTGTGCAAAAATCCGGACTCAGGAGGTCTCGCAAAAGTCAGCTGCAAGCATTTCCTCCATTTTTGCTGATGAGGCGTCTACTTGGCTCTGGCAAGGCTTGGATCCCTGACTGGAAGGAGAACAAAGACAAGCTGGCTGTTCCAAAACCGATCCCACTGTCTCCCAGAAGACGCACCCGATTGAACAGCAATCAGTTTGGGAGCCCTGCATCCTCGCGGAAAAGAACCCTCCACCTCGGAACTTCAAGACAATCAAGTCCCGGCGGGGCGCGTCGCAGACCTACGCACTTCACCGGAGCGTCCACTCCACGTCTCCTCCCACTGCCAACGGCACATTCGTTGGGTTCACCTATCTCCCGTCTCAGGAAGGGCACGCTGGATATCTTTTGGACACGCAGTGGACGGAAGCATTCATATCGATCCAACGGAGTCGTGTTCCAACTTTGTGCAGAGGGGGCAGGCATCACCCTGGTGGACAGCACTGCCTTGCACGAGGTTGCTTATTTTTGTGTGGAAACGCTGGTCATCAGCTCTACCCGAGATGGGGCACAGCATGAACTTGACATCAAACTCGGTTGTGTGCAAGTTGACGTGAGGGACAACGGTGCTAGCTGGAGAAGCAACGTCATGCTTCGCCCGCAACGGGCGCGCCTCCACAATCCTGTTCGGGCCGTGAAGGAGAAACCTTTCCTGGTCTGCAGTGCAACCTGGACAGCGCTGGATCGTGGAGCAGGCCAGGACCAATCTGTTAGGAGCACGGAAGTTCCTGTTCGGGCGCCTGAGGTGCAGCTGCTCACCTGGAGGTTGAGAGCCTTCGGATCGTGCCTCGGCATCGAAGCGGAGAGAGAACCTTGCATAGAGGGGGGCTCTGTATGTCCTGATGTGCACAATACTAGTCGACACAACAGAGCGTATGCTACAGGATGTCCAACCCATTGAGCTGCGCTTGGACACCATGAGCTGTTTCCAGCTGGCGCACTATGGCTTGGATTTGCTACGCAGGGCCGAGCCGATAATTGCATCCCACCCGCTGTTTGGGCACTTGCGGCTGATGCTGAAGACGCACTGGAGGACCCGGAGCAGACGCGTTCAAGCGAGCCCGAGCCGTGTCGAAGAAGGATTGTAGGGCATTGAACTCTGGGAAGGAGTGATGGAGAGCAACTGCTGGTTGCAGAAGAGGGCGAAGCTCGAGATCCTGTGCTCGGAGAACCTCCGCCACTCGGCACGAGATGCCTTCATTCCGCGGACTCCTGACATTGAGCCTTCCGGAGGTGCCCTGAGGGTGACGACTTCAATGTACCTACGCCGGTCTTCCTCAAAGAGCTGTGCCCTGGCAGATCAGTACCGCAAGAGTGCCAAGTAGGACGGCTCTGTGACCCTGCCGTCCAAGTCCAAGGTTCGTGAGGCGCATTCAGTTCTTCGTATCGGTGCGATTCAACGGAAAGGCCGCTTTTGCTTGCGTGAAGCTTGCATCGGAAAGTTGTTCTCCCAGTCCTAGCCTGGCTCAGACCTGATGGCAGGGGGCCACCGATTGCCAGGGCAACGAAGCCTTGCACGCCGTGGATATTTTGCTTCGCAGCTTCGACTTGCAACAACGACCACCTGTGCCCGGAAAAGAGGATTTTCCGATTGACGCATATTTTTATTCGACCTGGGGTCTGCAATGATCTACAAGGGTCGTTAGGTAGCATGTCGCCTTGGATCACTGCAAATGGTTAGGTTAAGGACTTGGCTTGATTGACTTCTCTTCGTTGACAGTCGATTCCAGGTTGGCTGACATTGTGCCGTCATGACAAATCGTGGGAACTTTTCTGGTTATCCCATTCAGGATAACGGACGCCTCCGCTTCCCTGTGCTTGCAGCCTGATGCCGTGCAAGGCAAGCTGATTCCGTTCGACGTCTCGCAGGCTCGGATTTCACTTGGACCGCAGCTTGTCTGCACCATCGGACAGCATGCACTTTGGAGTCTGCACCTTTTGGCATCGAGGTTTTTTCGAAGGCGGGGATCAGCTCCAAGCTCGCCCAGCTCCACGAGCCCGCTGTGGAGGTATGCCCTAGTGGCCGTCGTCCGCATATGTCCGCATGGCACCGTCGCTCGGCTGATCTCTCTTTGCCTTTCAGGCGCCTGCTGCGTTACATCCCCTGCATTGGTGACACGGACGGCGACGACGCTCGGCTTGGGCTCAGAGGCTTCGAACTTCGAACGGAGCAGTGGCTTCAGTTCTAAGGCTCACCTGTCGGATGAGTTTTTGCCCCACGGCTTTCATGAGCTGGTGTCTGAAGCTGCATCGGCCTCCGGCACGGCGGTTCTGCGACAAATCCCGCCTTTCGGCTTCAATGCAATGTGCGGCAGTTTCTGATCTCAAAGTCAGAGTCAAAGTCTATACTCTGCTACACTGCTCTACAATGTTCTGCTCTGTCCTGCTCTACCCGCCATACGATACGATGCCATACTGTACTATACTTCACTATGCTGTTCTATACTGCACTTTACTGTGTTATTCTGTACTAAGCTGTACTATGCTGCACCGTGCCGCACGGTGCCGCACCGCACCGCACCACCCCGCACCGCAATGCACTGCTGGACTGTACTATAGCCGCAATATAGGTCATCCTGGGTCTCAGGCAGTTGCTTGGTGCCCAGCGGGTGCTTGGAAGCCCGGCACAGCTCTGCGCAGAGCTGAACCAAGCGCTGCGCCTGGCGCTCTTTGGCCCGGTTCTCGGCTCCTGGCTGCCGGATATTCCGGCTGTTACACACCCCATGTCTTGAATACACTGAACTAATTACATGAGATATGTCTCTGAAGGCGTTTGCAGCTGCAGCCCCTGGCTTTTGATCGCAGCACTGCTCACAGTGCTGGCAGCTGTTCTGGCGGCCTGCCGTAAATGCGGGCACTCTGTCACCTTGTATGGATATTGAAGATTGAAGAAGGACTTCGTCACATGATCTCACATGGTTCCTCGTCCGAACTGAGGAGTCAGTGGAGGGCATCTTCATGATCGTTGCAAAGTGGCAGGGCTCAAGCAAATCAACGCAAAGGTTTCCTCAGTAGTCGGCCACTGTGTGACGACGGGTAAGTGAGGCTTCACTGTGGGTGCCCTCCAGCATGCCAAAGTATCACTCAGGACAACTTGCCGCATTACTGCTGGCACTGTCCCCACTGGCCTTCGCAAAGAGCCTTCTGGTGTTGCAGGAGGGGGTAATGACCTGCAGTGCTTGACAACCAGTGGCTTCTTTAGAGTTACTACTACTTCAACTGCTGCTACTACTGCTGCTGCTACTACTACTACTACTACTACTACTACTCCTGCTGCTGCTGCTGCTGCTGTTGCTACTCCTACTGCGACGGCTACGGCTACGGCTACTGCCGCTGCCACTGCGGCTGCCACTGCCTCTGCTACTGCTACTGCTACTGCTACTGCTGCTGCTGCTGCTGCTGCTGCTACTGCTGCTACTGCTGCCGCTGCTGCTGCTGCTGCTACTACTACTACTACTACTGCTACCACTACTAGTACATGTTACTGCACTTGAAGGACCTTTGAATCAGCAGGAGGAAATACAATCTTACGCGCATTACCCTACACACACCCACTTACTGCCCGTGAGTCTCGCGCAGAACGAAGGGCAAACACAAGCATCTTCTTGACTGTCTTCAGCATCAAATGCCTCCATCTTGTGCGGTCTTCATGATCCGTTGGCTGGGTGGCACTTTGGAAAACTTTAAAATTTCCCTCATGGTTCCGAGAGAGGCACCTACTTACAAATACTTTTCAGGACCCAAAACTACAACCCAGTTGATGATTTTTGGCACAGAAACGACACCATGACCTGGTCTGAACCCTGAATCCACGGGTAAAGGAGGGGGGGGTCGAAAACTACGGAAGGAGGCACTCGAGAGCGCAGATTCGGATCGAGAGTCATGTGGGATTGAGTTGACTGGTTGATGCTTTTCCCTACAGTGATGTTGAAAGTCTTGTGAATTCCAGCGCTAAGTTCAGATTTTTTCAAGACTACCCGCACGAGTGTCATGCTTCCTGCAAGGTGCTTTGATGGATCTTCTGTGGTATGGCTTCCCTTGGCATGCCCAGCAACTCTATCGAGAGTGCAGACGCCAGTGTCACATTGCTTTCTCTGCCCACTCGATCACCGAAGCTTGCCAGCAAGAGCTCCATGTAGCTTCGGACGGTCGAATCATTCGTGAAGCCAGCATGACAGACAGCCAGCACTGCAGCTTTCAGCCCAGCTGGAACTCGTCTCCTCTCAGGTCAGCCTTCGGTGCTTGCTCGAAGGGACCTGGCACTTTGTGTTCTCGATCCTGTCCTCCAGCATGGTGATTGCATCTGGGCGAAGCGAGATTTTCAATGACGTAAGATGACTTCTTTTGCAGCTTCACTTCCTCGATCTGTTGGCACAGTCGTCGCTGCAGCCAAGGTCGCAAAACTTTTTCAATCGATGCAGCTACTATTCCACACTTTGGCAGCCTGTCCATATTTAAACGGGCCCTCAGTCTCCAAACGCCACGCAAGGGAAGATGCCATGCACTGCTGTGCAGTAGCCATCCGACTCGCTATCCTGCTCTGGTGCAGGCATGGTACGTTTGTCCCGAGCGCGTGGCAGAGTTGGGTGCTCCCTTATCCCGGCGAGTGGGGCCTTTGCTCTTTCACATCGGCTCGCCCTTGCAGTATTCTCACTCTGTGACTTCCATTATGGGCGTGGTCAACAGCGCCGTCAGGGGCACCCGCCTTCGCGACTGGCGATTGCGGCATTTGCCGGGAGGTGACGGATCTCTGCTTGCGGTACAAGGCTCCGGATTTTTCCTCGTGCGGTCAAGCGCCATCAGACGATGTGTACCTGCACGTGAAGCAGACGTCTTTCTGGCTTGGCAAGCGCGGGGGAACTGGGAAAGGGTGGAGCTTCGTCTTGTCCGGCCCACCCTCAGAACGGAGAGCCACCGACACGAGATGCGCCGTCGCTTCGTGCTATGCCTTTACCGGAGGACGGCGCCTTACTGCAAGGTGCTACGACTCAGGAGCCGGCGCGCGGCTCTCTGTGCCTTCAGCTTCGCTCAGGCGGCTCGGCGGAGGCGAAGGGCGCCTTTTTCTTCCCCCGATTTTTTGGGCTTTTAGCGGTGCAGAGCAGAGAGCAGTTCGCACATCAGCCAAGGAATGCATTTCTAGCTGGGTGAGAGCCCAAGTACAGACCCAAATGGCTCCAGATACTCCCAGGTTGCGGCTGCTTAGGCGGGTGCATCGATCTGCCGCGGTTCGTGCATCCAATGCATAGCAAGGCTGGATGCCATCATAAAGCTCCAGTCGACCAGTCGACTAGTCTAATTCGGCCACGGCTGATGAAACGCTAAGCAATCCAAGCTTAGACTTAAAAGCTTGAACCCGAAGGCTTGTGAACACCACGGTTCCAGGAATGAGCTCCCCTTTGTTACCATGTCAGCTGGCCCGAGACCAGATTCCAGCACGACCGCTGCATGCCTTGTACAGCCAATAGCGATGCTACTGGATATTTTGCAGTCTGGTGCCGCTTTCTGCGTCGATTCATCTCAAGCTTTCTCGTGTTGCGAGTTCTCAGCCCTAGCGGTCCAGGCGAAGCTGCTCAAAAGTTGCAGCACAGCTAGCGGCACTGCAAGTCAGACGACAACATGGATAGAGTCGATATAGAGATTTTTTGGGAAGTAGCAGGGAGCCTCTTAAGCTCGAGGTCTGACATGCTGGCCTCCGCCCTGAACACAAGATCCCAGAACGCCCCCGGCAGCACTGTAACCACCCAATCTGACGGGTTCTGGGATCTGTGCGGACAAGTGGATTAAATTAACATTGAATCCGAATTCAACTCGACTGTGCCTGGATCTGGTCTACTTGCAGGTTCCCACCCGATGTGCAACTCGTTGGCATCCAACTGATGCGGGTTTCGTTGCGGTGGAAGCCGGACTGCGCCCGACGCAGCCGCTGTTCAAAGGTGCTGTGGTGTGCTATGCTTTGACATCAGTGGGAGGCGTAGTTTCATTCGGGCTGCCCGACCCCGGTGACTATATCTCGTTCAAGCGTGTTCCTGCGCATCCTCTGAGCAAACTGCGTGTTTCCATTTCAGAGCAGCATGCACCCCGCAGCCATCAGCATAACATACAAACAAACCATGCCTCGGGCCGTGTATGCTAGCATCTTCAAGTGTCACAGTTGGGATCTCTGTTCATGAGATGCTGCCGGTCGGGTTCTGGATAGCTGCGACTCGTTACGACATGTCTGTTGCCTGGCATCGCCATGACAGCGCTATGGATCATGTAGTCAGCAAGAATGACTGCAGAGGAGAGTGTAACATTCTGCAGCCCAACGTAGTCACCTTTGGCGGACACTGTGCGCAAGATCAGCATCGGGCTCCAATGATGCGTTCTCATGGCCGAGATGGTGCGGAGTGAGACTGCATGGACCTGCTTTACTGGTCCTACTGGTCCTCGGTCTGTGGGGTACAGAAGAGCTGGACGTGAGGCTGCTTTCGCCCCTGTTCGTCAAACACACGGCTACTTGCATACCAGCTTTACCAAGAAGACCTCGCACGGCTTTGGCCTTCAACGCGTAGACCCTATGCAGTTGAAGGCCAACACGATGGCAAAGATTATCTGGATGGCGATGTCGTATGTCGTATCGGGCCAGGACGACATCGTAATGAAGACTTGTCAGCACTACTGGCGTGTGCTCACCATCTGCAAGACGATTGCACATGGGCTGCAAGCCAGTAAGCTGACGTATGTCCTTTGCACGCCAGAGGTCGGCATCAGTTTGTGGACATTGGATATCATGTTTTGGTGCCGGGTGCAGAGCCGCCAGGCAGGCCTCTGAGAGAAGACGGGCAGGCCCTGGCAAGTGACAAAGATTGAGCGAGGGGTGGAGGGATGAAAAAGGCAGCTCTGGATGTGATGCGGTGGACAAAAGTCTTGTGTGACTGACTGGTTCGAAGAAGTTGTCTTTTGTGCGACTAGTGACTTTGGCTGCTTCTGAATGGAAGTGTTCAATATCGAGCGGTTCGCTGCTCTGCTTGGAGGACTTGTCAAGCAGGGACATCCCGACCTCAGTGCCGCGGACTGAGGACGTCCCGAATTTGTCTGCCTTCTGCCTTCTGCTTGCGCGGGTCTCAGGCAGACCTTGCTGCATGCTCTCTGTAGCCCGGGCCTGAGCTGACCATGTCCCACGATCCTTGTACCTGCTTGAATCGGGGCCCCCTTCAAGGGGATCTCGTGTCCTTGGCGCACTTGTGCCACCAGCGTGCTGCTGAAGATCAGCAGTGGTGGCAGGCAGTTTTGTTAAGCATTTCGCGGCAGCAGAACCAGCGAAGACTCTCATGCTGCACCAGGTGGGCGATGTTCTGGAGGCCCCCGCTGAGAGCCTTGCACAAAGATTCCATTGTTGATGTCATCTCACTCGACCAGGTAATCCGAGACATGTTGCACGAGGAGGGTAGTGCAGAGCAGCGATGCCTCGCTTTTCTGCTTCGGTGACACAAGACATGTTTTCCTGATGTGGCAGTCTGTGACATTTGGGACTGATGAGCTCATCCTCTGGATGCTGCATGATGCTGCATTAGGAAGCAATGAGCTGTCATGAAGCTTCTGACGTTACAGATCTTCCCAGAGTCTAGGGACCCGGAGAGGGGATCAACTCTGCTGGCAACTGGATCTCGTTTGAACGCGGAAGCTGTCGAAGCCATCGGCAACGTGGTCTTGTCCGCGCAGCAGAAGCTGGGAAGGGGAAGGGACGGCAACGCGAGACTCAATCATCGGATATCATAGGTGCCAGAGGCGGAGGGGAAGGTAGACTTGTCACCCCGATTGGGCAGTGCTGGCAGGGGGAGGATGTGGGTACTCTGTGTCTGGATGTGTCTGGCATGATTCATGAAGTACGACGATTCCTTTGCCAGGTGGAACGACATCTCCGTCCGTCTTGCACAGCGCCCGCCTGCGCAAAGCCCTCGACCAGGCTCATCGAGGCTCCGTCCGTGCCGCTGCCATGGTGCTAAGTCGGTGCCAGTGCTGCCCTGCTAGTTTCTTTCGATTGCGAGGAAAGCTGCTGCTCCAGCGCCTGCTCCGACGGCTCCAGCTCCAGCACCTGCTCCAGCTGCCGCCGCGCCAGCAGCGGATGAGGTAAATCCGGCATCACCGGTCGGCGGGACTCGCCGCAGAAGCTTAGCGGAGGTGCAGCAGCAGGGAAGTGGCAGCATGATCGCGAAATTGCAAACCCTGCAGGCTGCCAGCATGGCCTTCTCGGTTATGACTGGTGGACTTTTCTGGTGCTCCCAACAATTTTATCTGAGCAGAGAGAAACAGGAAGGGAAGGCTGACAAGGGCTTGGCACAGGCAAGGCTTGAAAAGGCTGACGACATCGTAACGTGACTTGTAAGAGAGGTTTAAGTCGAGAGCTGCACTCGCTTGGCCAGAGCTTGATGTGATAGACATCGCCACGTGTGCAGCTCCGTTACAGCACTGCCTGCACCTCCCTGTTGCGACAGCTTCACACTCGGCAACCCACTATGTGCTGACCTTCCGATAAGAAGTACGGAATCATAGCCAGGGTCCGATGATTCGGTCATTCGAAACTTTTTGCGAGCGGTGTCGAGAAGGTTCCACCTTCACTCGTCAGTCCTTGTCCCGATGCCAGCTGTCCAGCTTCCGCAGTTTCAGATCGCCGCAGTAACACGTCACATTTCCCTGCCTCACTGTGCTTGACAGTGTTTCGACTTTGCGAAGAGCCTTGGTGGACCTTTTTGCTGAGCACTCTGAGGGATGCTGATCATTATGTGGGTTCCTCATTATGGCAATTATAGTAGAATAATACCCCAAAACCCTAGGCCCTATTCTAATCATTCTGTTCCCTTTCGGCTTCTCGAGAGCCAGGCAAAATGGCAGTGAGGATCCGGCACCGATGCGGGACGACGAAAAGGAGAACGACACCGAACGCAAGGGACTCAGAAAAATTCTGAGATGGAAAGAGATCGTGTTCACGATATTTCACGATGCTTGCAAAGCACCTTGGATGAATCAAACCAGCTGTGATGGCACCGGTTGCTTTGCTTGCGGGACGATCCTTGCATCCTGCTTAGGTTGCAAAGATGCTGAAGCCGAGGAGGCTTCTTCTTCTTCAGCTTTTCTGGCAGCCAGTTGTTCAAATGCTCTCATGCTCACATGCGGGTCGCAGTGATCTGTTCTTCAGGTGCGTTCCTCCGTAAGTACTGTCATCACACTGTGCAAGCCTCAGGTCCCAGATCTGCGAGAGCAATCCAGTTGTACGCATGCTGCACCCCTGCCGAGGACGGACCGAAAGCTCGACATGCCCCTGCAGGAAAGTTTAGTCACATTTCTTCGCATGCTTTGCGACACGGTGTGGATGTCGACAGGAGTGTCATGAAGCCTCACGGCCACACGCTCATGAAGCAGAGGCTTGGGCTTGACGTGCTGCGCATCTATGCGCGGGCCCATAGGATTGCCTATATGAGGGTTGTTCTAAACCCCCGGCTCTTGACCGTAGACTAGCAGCGCACTTTAATATTTGGATTCAGGTTTAGGACATGCTCTAAACACGGCACGGCGCAAGAGCGCGCAAGGGCGAGCGCAAGGCGATACGTAGTGTAAGAAGGTATACTGAGCTACTGCTACTGCTGCTGCTACCAACTTCC